GTTCTTTACACGTTACTAACGCTAAACTACCAGCCAAATTTTGTACCATTAGATGAGCCGAATTTCTCATTCTCTCTTCGTTCGGTTCCATCGCAAAATCCTTAATGATCAATTCTCTCGTTGAAATTCCAGCAATGGTTACCGATCTTTCCACTACGGGAGTGATGATTTCACGGATGGCTCTATCCATGGCTAAATGGACGAATTTTCTTAACCCTTGATTTGCAAATACTGGCAAATTAGGGTTTATTGTAATGTATGATCCCAGGTTCGTAACAGGTTCATCACTTAATGGTGAGGAATTGGGAATTGAGATCGTTTGCGCGGATAAAATCGGAGCTGTTTGTTGTTGTTGTAATTTGTTAGTGGGCCACTTATCAAATTCTTGTGCAATTGTCTCTGTTTGATTTGCGACCATCTCCTTTGGTGGACGATCCTTAATGATCGTTGTGGGCTCTATATCTTTAAGTTCAATTTCCAAACTTTTACAAAGAACTTCGATCTCAAATTTAAGATTTAGTTTTAAGTCCGCATATTGATATAATTCCACTAATAACTTGAGAATGGCCATCAACCACGGATTTGGTGGTTTGAAGACCTTGCTCTTTCCTGCCTGCTCAAGCACTTTACACACAAAAGGAATAGCCACTATTAACCTATTACTATCGTATCCTTCAACCAAAAGTTCCTATATAAATAATGAAAGGGGTTTAATATGCATCGAACAACTTTTCTTTAAAATCATCAATTGATTATCAATGATTAGCCAAACCTTGAATGCAATGTTCTTATGTTTGATAGGTTTATTTTTAGCTAATGTCATGCCACCAAGCCATGATCCAAGGTTCTTCAATAAAGAACGCTCAGATGATGATTGTACTGTTTTTTCGGAATTCAAAAGAACCTTGACATTTGCAAATGTTTCATGTAAAACGTGACGACAAAGAGATTGACTTTCTAGTGATTCGAGAAATTGAAGGTAAAGTTGATGATAATTTGGTTCAATACTAGCTCTTTTTACCACTAAATAATTGGCGAACCAACGATAATGAGATTCCTTAAGGATGTCCTTCATTTCAGCAACTTTAGTTTCCAAATTACTTTGAGCGACGTTGTTAATTATGAATAAAATTTTGTCTTGAACTGCTTCACTTGGAACCTCGTAATCAACTTTGTCGGCGGCCAACAATGTATCAAGGTTCAAAGCGGTGAAAGCTGGCCTGTCAATCACTTTGTTGTTATTCTGTTCAGATAAAGGTTTATTATTAGAGTTGATATTCGCGCCCGTGATATTAATAGTAGGTTTTGAAGTAGATTGTTCAATATTGCTGTTACTACTACTAGCAGTTGTAGTAGATGTGATAGCAGATGATGTAGCAGTCGCAGAGATACTCTTATTAGAATTAATGGCAAGCGTTGACCTAACGTATTGTACAATTTCGGGGTGGGATTGTTGCAACTGTGTGATCTGTAAAACTTGTGAGCAGTATTGTGGCCATTCCGGCAGACGAGACTGAAATTGCGATAAAGCTTGAACCCCAAAGTTAAACATTCTAGAATCTGCAGGACTCCTAAGAGCATTTAAAACGTAACGAAGAGCGATACCAAGCGCCTCATATATCACGAGTTGATACTGAATAAGCGACCCAAATATTACACTAGTAATCGTCAATTCTCTTTGCGGATATTTCGGGAAGAATTGATATTCGTCGAATAAATTGTGCACCATGCAAGAAAAGATTTGGTTTTCTCTATGATCTTCAGAATGCTTGAATCTCTGTAAAAGTTTAATAAAATCTTCGATGCTGATCTCTTGCCTGTATACTCGTTCATAATATGAATTTGCTTCTTCTTCTACATCAGGCGTGAAAGTTTGATCCGGAACGTTTCCTTCAGCAGAAGTTGAGGGCAGGAGACGTGGATAGACATGTATAGATGCCTTATTGATCTCTTTGAATAATTCAGAATTTGCCTGAGACATTGAACTGACCGATAAAAAGGAAAATTAAGTAATGATACAAAAATTTTGTTAAATTAAAAGAATAAATAAATAAATAAAATTAAAACCTGTTTGAAAGGATGCGGAGGAAAATAGCAAATACATCACCGGTAAGCCTTACTGACTGAAGGCTACCATTGCTTTCACGTGTAACTTCCATGGAAATTTTCTGGCTGAGAAAATCCAAGCAATCGTGAATAAAAGAATCACCATATTCATTGATATTGTCCTGTAACCATTTTTCTAAATTAAGGTATTCTCTCCGTGAGGCGAGAGCTGCCAAGTCAATAGAGAAAGAGAATGACTGAACTTCTAAGAGCGGACTCAAGATCTGCTGACGAAAAAATCCAAAATGATAATGTGTTTAATAAGATTTGATATCAATTACTAAAAAAAAAAGCATCCCATCTCCAAATCATAATACAAAGGTGCATCCCAAGCACTTACCTTCAAATCCTGTGCAATGTCTAGTATCCTTGATATGGTCATGGCATCTTTTTTATACATTTCAAGGCAACCTTCGATGAATAGACCACTGTTAACTTGCCATAATCGCGTAAGAACAGGCGTTGAACTTGAATGACCGGCCAAAAACATTGAAATCAATCTATTCACAATTTCTTGATGCAGTGGGTTCCAAGGTTTCTAACAAATCATATCGATTGTTAATTTTTGACGATAAATTATAATGTAAAGTAACGATTATGTGTGATAATACTGATAATTACTTGTACTTGAGCAAGTCCTAAACACATGACTTCAGGAGTCTGCTTAGCCGCCCTTTCGAATAACTGTCTAACCTCCTCGAAAAAATTACTATCGGCCATTTTTATCATAGTATCTATCAACTCGACCGAATTCCACGGATTCGTCGTGAGCATTCCAGACATTGATTTGAGATTTGCATTTGACGTTGCGAAATCTTCCATAGATAAAACTTTTTGAACAGGGTAATCATTAATATTAAAAATTTCAGGCGGTGCCTGCACTATACGACGTAAGAAGCTAAATTGTCCGTTGAGATTATTCCAATGTCTCCAAAACACATCTAGCGGGAATTGTTGTCGATCCTACATCAAGAATGAAATTTGTAAAAAGATGATTCAATAATAAAAATAACGAAAGCAATGTAATTACCTTGACCGCTTTCCTAAAACTTGATAATATTATTTCCAAACCTTTTGTATCATGAATATTAAATTCTGGGTAATCTAATTTTTCTATTATCTTAACCCAGTCTAAGTGAGGTTGCTAAAACAAAAGTTATTGAATAATATTTTTATTTAGCATAAAGTAGAATTTCGTTGAATTTTAAAATGATCGAAATACTAACCAGTTCCACCAAGGTTGATGCGAAAATTTCAATGTCCCACGTCTGCTTACGTTCTTGAGAGTCTGCGCCCTGATTCCACGCGGCACCATTCTCAGGATTGGTATGTGTTATTGCCATCATACCAATAGCTTGCGCAACATCGTCATCTCTGATAATCTCACCAGACTCAGCAGACGTCACTCCAAATTGATTCAAGACATTTCGAAATGCAGGAGCAGAACTACAACAATTATAGCCCAAATCATGCATCATTTTGGACAAAGATTGATCACTTGTTTCTCCCATTTTAGTATTAGAAAAATCGCTAAATGTATTTATTGTGTTGAAGATAAGTACGGATTACAAATATGAATAAACAAAAATATAATTATACTACTTACGCTGTCTGGACAGTCTGATTTGAATTAAGAAGGAGAGCAAGTGGTACAGGTTTGAAGGCAGCCGAAGTATTTGAAGAAGAATCACTTTGTGTGGATGAAAGGCTTCTACTCTCAGCCTCGTATGATTTATAATAAGCAATTAAATGATGAAGTAGTTTCTCTGATAAATTAGCCTGAATTGACTGATCTCCCAAAGCCTTAACAAGCGGATCAAAATTTTGTCTAATGATCTCGCGCGCTGCAAGTCAAATTAAAAAAAAACAAAACATAATTTTTTATGATTGTCGAAAATAATGAAAGGGAGAAAAAAAAAAAAATTTCTTACCTTGCTCAACAATTTCCTTTCTATTTGCTGATAACAATGAAATGCAAAGTCCAACCTTTTCGACCGGATTAATTCCAACGTGTTCCAAAAAACTATTTAGGTCAAGATCTTTAAAAGAATCGCTGTGATCTATGGAATTTAAAGCTTTACAGAAGACTGAAGAGATAGCAGGATCGCTTGCAGCTTCTATAACCTTTTCAATTAAAAGACGATAGCTCAAAGAATGATTGAGCAATTCTGAACTACGGGTTCCAATGTTGCAAATTCTAGACTGGTTGTCAATCAGAAGTCGTCGTAATAAATGAAAATATGTATCTGGACCGTGTTTGATTAAATGCTAAACGTATTAAAATTCGGTTATCAGTAAAGAAAACATTTTATAACGACTCGAATGATGAATCAAATTTTATACAGGTAGTAGATCTAGAATTAGTTTCCTTGAAGGAACCCAAGTTTTTTAAAACCTAATTCTTAAGATGGGACCAGTATATTCAAGCTATTAGGAGTTCGGATCTAAGTTGTGATCGTGCGTATACCTACCGAATTTATTTCAGCAACGTGCTTTTCGTAATTGTCAGTCGAAAGGATTGACAATAGAAAGGAAATTTGAGCTTTTACGACGGTAGTTAAGCTCGTCTGAGATCTCAGGTGATGAGGCGTAGTGGACGACGTCTTTGCTGTAGAAGAGTTACTGTTAACAGGTGGGGAGAAGGACGTGAACGACGGTTCCTCACTGTTCATAATGGGGAGGGGCACATTATTTTCTTTATTGTGAACAGAGGAATACGAGGTGCAAACCAACAATGAGGCTTTGAATCTGCGGTTTTTCCAATTTATATTATCAAGACTTCGTTTGCTTACATCATCATTCATCATTCCACAGATGTTGAGACTTTGACCAATCACTCACTATCAAGATTTTATTTAAAATTTGTAAATCCCAAATTCCGATTTTTATCGGAAATGATACCTAAACAACTACCGAGGTTGTTAGGCGTACGCGATTTGGTGAAAATATACGGTTTAACAGCAAGGGCTCAACTAAGTCAAAATTTTATCTTAGATAAAAATATTACAGGTCGTTATTTACGTTTAAGAAAATTTCGAGTCGAAATTTTTTTAAAATTTTTTATCGTATTTTTTTTAATAGATAAAATTGTAAAATGCGCAAATATAAGTCAAAATGATAAGCTCGTCATTGAAGTTGGACCTGGTACTTTAGATGTTTTTATTCTATGCCATCAATTTAAATCATAATTTGAATAAAATTCAACGATTTTCTCATTTTTTAGGACCTGGTTCGTTAACAAGGTCATTATTAGAAACGGGAATTTCCAACATCGTAGCCATAGAAAAAGATTCTCGATTCTTACCTGTCCTTATGGTAATAATATTCTTGCCAATCATTAAGTTGATTAAGTTGATTGATCATTACTGATCGATAAAACATTTCTTGATAGCAATTGGTTGAAGTTTCAGAACATACTTTGAAAGTAATGTATCTATCAACTTGAATTCAAAATGTTTATATTTTGCAAGAAATGTCATGCGCTTTTTTCTTTCTTTCTTTTTTTTTTCTTTAAAGATAATAAAAGGTGACATGTTAAAAATCGATCATGAAAAGATTATGGAAGCTGCGCAAATACGCGAAACCTTAAGTTCAGGTATTTTGCGTGCTCAAAAGACTCGACGATAGCCATTTTATTCTTATCGAGTAGATCCTTATTAAGTTATCAAATTCAGATTCTAGTTTACATCTAATTGGAAATCTTCCATTTAATGTTGCAACTCCACTTCTCGGACAATGGATAAATATGTTGTCAAATCGATCGGGAATATTTAAATTTCCTAACATTAAAATGACTTTAATGTTTCAAAAAGAAGTTGGAGATGTAAGTGTTCCTTCGTTGACGAAATGACTTGTAAAATGTTTTATCTTCTTTTGCTTTTTTAAATTAAATAAATCAAAAGAGAATTGTTGCCGATACAACTAGTTCACGACGTGGTCGGATGTCAGTCTTGGTACAAAGTTTTTGTGATGTTAAAAAGATTTACGAAGTTCCTTCAAGTGTATTTGTACCTCGTCCAAAGGTAATTCATCCTTTTTCGTGATTCAATTAAATGTTTGTAATCGAAATAACGCGAAATTTTGCTTATTCAAGGTTGACGCAAGCGTAATTCAATTAACGGCTTTAAAAAATCCATTATTGCAAGGTAATTACATATATAAAAAAGTGAAATCATTCTTTATAAACATATTATTTTTATCTTTTTTTTTTTTTTGAATTACATTTTAGCTCCAGTAAATTTGTTGCAAGAAATTGTCCTATATTTTTATTTATCCCGGAGGAAATCAATAAATTCTATATTTAAGTACGTTTACTTTTTTTTTTTTTTTTTTTTTCCTTTCCTTTGGTTTGGTTAATCAACAATTTATAAATTGCACGTTAACAGCAAATTAAAGAAGGATCTTTCGAAGGGTGAAAAAGAAATTCTCTCAAAAATCATCGAACAATTTAATGTTGATATGTCATTACGACCTGGGAATTTAACTGCGGAGCAGTTTTGCTATTTAACGAAATTATTTCATGATAATTCTTTATCTATTCCCAAAAGATAAATTACCTTTTTTACAAATAAAATTAACTTTGGCCAAGATTACGTTCATAAAAAAAAGTTAAACAATTTAGATTATCATCAAAATTGATTGATTGATCAACACGTATTAGGAAAGTGAAAAGTACACCCCAATTTTTTTTTTTTTTTTTTTTTTTTTTTTTTAGGTAAAATTTCACCTTCAGACATAATGGAAAGCACAGACAGGATTGTGGAAATCACCGACGAAAACAAAATTGAGGAAATTAATGATGAAACAAAAAAGGAAAATATAGAGAGTGAAAGTATTAGTAGCAATTCAAAACAGATCGTTGAGGAATCTACGGATAAAAAAAAAACTGCTACTGTTGAATCGGAGGAAGATTCCGAAGAAGATCTCCCAGAATTAGAAGAGGAGACCATGGTTCCTCCTGGAATTACCCCAGCTGATATTTCCAAAATTCAGAGTCGTGGTGAAAAGAAGGCTCGTAAGGCAATGCTGAAATTAGGGTTAAAAGTTGTACCAGGGATTAATCGTGTCACCATCCGAAGACCAAAAAATGTATGTTTTTTATCTTTTTTAAGATTAAAATTGTATACAATTCGAATCATCTAAAATTTTCATTATTTACTTTAGATTCTTTTTGTTGTTTCCAATCCTGATGTCTATAAATCTGCCAATTCTGACTGTTACATTGTGTTTGGTGAAGCCAAAATTGAGGATCTTAATTCTCAAGCTCAAGCTAATGCCGCACAACAATTCCAAGCTGCAGAAGCTGCGGCTACTGCTCAAGAAGTCACCAAGGTAGACGAAGAAACTGTTGAGGAAGACGAAGATGATTTGAATGTGGACGAATCTAATGTTGAGGCTAAGGATATTGAGTTGGTTATGAGTCAAGCGGTGCGTTTCATTTTATTGTCTTAACTTTTCGTGCATTTACTTTTAAATGAACCTTTACTAAATTAATTTTTTTATATATTTTCAGAACGTGTCTCGGCCTAAGGCGGTAAAGGCACTGAAGAATAATAGTAACGATATCGTTAATGCTATTATGGTAAATTTTTATTATATATAATGTATACTTTTTATATTTTCATATTTTCATTACACTAATCAACTTACCGTTTTTTATTAGGAATTGACTTGTTGATATGAAAGTTCATAATTTTGTACAGATTCATAGAAAATTTAAAACATTTACAATCACAAAAAATAATAATAATTATAATAATAATCATTATTTACGTAAAAATTTATTATTCTATTATTATTTTATTGAAAACAAAAAAAAAACGGCTTTTTATTGGTTTTGAGGTGACACCCTTTTTTTTAAAAAAAATTTTTTTTATATTAACGAAAATTAATTTCACATGGACTTTATAAATAAAAAAAATAAATAACGGAAAAGCGAATTGTGAAGATGAAAATAATTGTATAAATTACTAATCACGTGACATACCTTATTTAATTTGGGTCACTGATCTACGACGAACATATATTTTATGATCCGATCCATCCCGGTCTTTAGCGATCTGGGTGAAGGACATCGATTTTTAGACCGATCTTTGGACCGGTCCTTAGGATCGAAAATATTTACGAAATGAGAAAATAAATTATTTCGTCATATGAAATAAAACATTAAGAAAATCTCAAATTAACAGAAATTAATAGGTTTTATACGTAAAGTTTTTATTATTTATTGTTTATTTTTAATTAAATCTAATAAGGTACTATAAACGCATAAACCGAACCATATAACACAATTGTTGAATATATAAAAAGTTCGAAATAAAATGCGTTTACGATTCCTTTGCTTATAAAGAACTATGATATTATATTCCGTAAAAAATCATGCGATGAAGAAGCCCTCAAAATAACGGGTTATTTTTTTTCTTTGGTAATTAATATTCTTTTGGAAATATATTGGAAATTTAGGTGCAATTATTGCTACAATGGTTTGAATAACGCGCCATTGTATCATGATGATTGTCCTCAAAGAGAACGTGTATTATTTTTTGGCGGGATGCAATACTTGTGTATAATAAATGCATGATTTGTATTTTATCCATCATCATGGATGAAGAACATTCTGGCTAACCATGGAATAATTTTTGTTGAAAATTGTTAACAAGAGTTTCATTTGTTTTCACAGAATTTTGCAAAATCATGATTCTTTTGGAATTTATATAAAAAGAAAAAATAACTTTTCATTATTAGCAAATTATATTACAATTTTGTCAATGAATCTTTGAAAATGCTGCAATAAAAACCTTTCTTTCACTTCCAAGTGAGAATTAGACCTTTATAAAAAAATATATAACAAAGTTGTTTTTTGTACAACCCTGTCCTCGACTAATTTTAAGACGCATGTGCGATTATTTAATTTTAACCGACTATGTATGGGTTTACATATTTCTAAATAATCAATTTAAAAAAAAAAAATTATATAATTCTACGGTTGCTAATTAGTCCGGTGCGAACGACGTATCGACTCAATTTTTGTCCGAGCGGACATCGGACGGTTTCCGACCCGTCTGATTGGATGAGAAAATCCATGATTGGTTCCTTGGTTAATTGACCACGTGACGGACCGATCCGGTCCATAATGATCAGATCGCGTCTCAAACATATAGCTGAGAAAATTATGCTAAAAATTTTTTTGCAACACAACATTTTCCGATGACGACCAGAAGCAGAACACTCCTATTTTTACAATATCGTAATACGTTTGCGAGAAATATTCATTCCCGACCCTTAGCTACCTCTTCAAATGGTTATGATTCTTATAATACTTCAGAGCATACAGGTTTAATAGAAAGTTCGGACCACGTTATAGAACTTTCCGTCTTACCACCAAAATGGTGAAAATCTGAATTTATTAGATTTATGGTTTATTCTCCGTTAACATTTATTCTAAGCCCGAGAACACTATGTTTGTATTATCTATTACAGGGTGGATATAGTTGGTGAGGTGGACGATGATATCGAACAAATAAAAAATCTAAGTTAGTCATAAATATTAACACTTCATATCTTTTACAAGTCAATCCTATTAATTTCTAATATTTTATTTTATAGTTCCAACGTTAGAATCTCTTCATAAGAAACATGTTCTCCCAGGATTTGATGATAGAACTACGGAAGAAGATGAGATAGAACGATTAACAGACGAAATCACACACGTAATTGATAATGATTTTTTTTTCTTTTTTATTTAAGTCAATCCTATTAAACGTTTCTTTTATTTTAGTTATTTCAACAATGCCAACGGAAAATTAAACGAATTGCTGAAAGTTTATCATCAGCAGCATCAAATCAAGAACGAGCAATGAGCAAAAATATTCAAACATCATTAGCTTCAAAATTACAAGATTTATCATCGGGCTTTCGAAAACAACAAGCATTGTACATGAAAAGTAGCTTTTCAAATATATAATTTTTTTAGGAAATTTATTTCTGTTATTATTTTTTTTTTTTTTAAAAAAAAAAAGAAAATTAATGAAGTTATATTTATATATAGAACTTAAAGGAAGAGAGTCTAAGAGTTCAGGATTATTTTCAATAGAAAGCAACGATTCAAATGAGGACGATTTGGAATTGGTATGAGAAAGGCATAATATTTAAAAGTTATGTCGAGATTATAATCGTTTACATATTTTTTTCGGTAATAGGGATTTACTTCAAATCAACTTGCAGTTGTGGAATCTTCGGAAGCAATTATTTCGCAGCGAGAACGAGAAATAAATGAAATCGCAAAATCTATATACACAATAGCAGAAATTTTTAGAGATCTTCAAGCACTTGTTATTGATCAAGGAACATTGTTAGATCGAATTGATTATAATGTTGAACAAATGAATGTTGATGTTAAATCAGCTGTCAGAGAATTAGATAAGGTAAGCGACGATCAAAAAAAAAAAAAAATTTTTTTTTTTTTTTTTTTTAATTTGAAAGATTTCTTTGATAATTTATTTTTTTAAATTATTACTTTCTAGGGAGCACAATATCAAAAAAGAACTAGAAATAGAAAGATAATTTTACTTTTATTGTTATTAATTTTTGGACTTGTTATTGTCCTCATATTTAAGCCTCGTCGACATCATTAATACACTATTTGTTATTGATTTTTGGACTTCTTCTCATCGACGTAATTTAATATATTATCTTGTGTATGTGGAACATTTTAGATTTCTTTAATGGTATTAGACTTTATTTATATTGTACAATAATATATTATCTGCAAAGGAAAAGGCATAATCATAATAATAATAATTTAATAATTTAATGAAAAATAAGAAATATTACAGAACCTGATTTCCTATTTAAATTGACGGAAGGGCATGTTAATAATATAGATCTGATCCAAGATAAGTTTAAAAGCCTTTTTATTAAAAGATAGAGTAGATGAAAAGATTTTCAAGAAGCAATCTAAAATAATCACACGTTAACGCCTAAAGATTCGAGCTTACTTGGAATGTTGAACAATTTTTAAAAATTACTAGTTATAAAATGTCTTATCTATAATAAGTAACCCATATTATAAAATTGTAATAAATTTTATGAAAGGAAATTTTCATGAGACCGTTAAGTTGGGATTCGCTCCTTAGGACGACCCTGTCCTAAATTTCAAAATAAAGATTCTTTGGATTTCCCGAATAAATTTATTAATACCAATTATTATTAGAAAGTAAAATATAATGCCAGTAAAATTAAATCTTTTTTTATAACTAGCCGTTTAACATTCCTACATGATTAATATAGATAACATTGGTTGATTATGGCTAATTAACTTACATCCCTAACAAATAAAAATTTTAAAACTTTTGATTTTTAAATAATAAACTTAAAATTTTAAATAATATTACCTCTAAACATTTTTAAACTGGGATAAAATATAATACTATTTCTGAAAAAGTATTTTAAATTATATAAATAATTTTTGTTTTTAAATTAATTTGTAATAGTCAATTATAGAAAAGTCTTTCTATATAAGATTATAGATATTATAATTAATTATTATTATTTAAGATAATACGTTTTTAAAAGTAAATGTAAATTATTTTAAAAGATTGCTTAATTAAATAAATTGTTTTGATTTCTTATTAGAGAAATATGAAGATATTACAAGTAAAAATTGTAAAAAAATTTTAATATATTATTTTTGTTTTATTATTTAATAAGTCAAAATTATGCAGTTTTTTAATCAAGATTATAATAAAGAGATATAAAAAGTAAATTTATTTGTTTTAATATATATGTGATATATTAATTGACTTTAAAACTTTAGAATGGTGTTTTTAACAATAGAATAATTATATTTTAAAAAATAAAAAAAAAAATAAAAATAAGTTCTTTTTTTTTATAAATATATTTTCAATAAAATCAAATCATGAGATATAGTAAATCATATAATCTATAATGTGATTTTTTCCAAAAATGTGTTTTATTATTATTGTAATTTCAATATTTTCAAGTTATTATAATTTTAATATTTTTTCAATTTTCTCATTTTCATATTATGATTTTCAGTTTCTATATAATGAACATTATATTTATATCTATTCTTCATATACTTCTTATTCAATTGTTATCTATTCTTTATTTAATTCTTATATTTATCTTTTCTTCTATATGATAAACTTTTTCTTTCATTCTAGTTGATAAATAAAAAAAGATTTTATTAGCTAATAATAAAGAAAAAACTCAAATAAATGTTTAAAAATAGTATATAATTGATTCCTTCAAAAGGATTTAAGAGTGAAAAAAAATAATAGAGATGATCATATAGGATAAATGCTAATAAAAGAGACCAAATTTAATATAACGAAAAAAATTATTTTTTATGTAGGAAACATTTTTTACTTAATAAAGGAAGATCATTGGCATAATAAAACATTGCGTTACGCAATATCTGGTTTAGCTATATTTAGCACTAATTTTATTATATATATAATTATATGTTTTTTTTATTTGTATTATGATCGATATTTTATCTCAAAATAGTTCATATGCATGTTCAATGACCAAATTCCCCTGCTTGTAGAGTAGAAATAAAATAGCAGGCATTTTGAATTTTAATTCATTTAAATGACATATTATATACTCTAGAAATCTTAGAAATACTATTACTTTAAAATAAGGATTTGAATGGGCTAATAGATTTATTTTTTCGGATCGACTTAATTATAGCTTGATATTTGAATTTGGATTTTGGGCGATACGAAAAAAATTTGGAAGTTTCGGAATTTTTTTTTAAGTTGTAGTATTTCCTGTTAAGTGGTGTAACGTTTGTATCGTGAATTCAAAACAGATGTTCTAGGATCTAGATAAATCGGATCTAGATGGATCGTTCTCACAATAATTAAAAAAGTAAATCTTCTCTCAACATACTTAAAAAGCATTCATTCAGTTTCAGTTTGCCACAAATATATCATCATCTATCCTCTTTTGTCTATTGACTCTTCACTTGCCTTCAATTTTTGACGAATTATCCGAATAATGTCCTCAAAAAATGGCAATACTTTTACAATTGGTAGTCGTAAATCCGAATTGGCCTTAATTCAGACTAAACGAGTACAAAAACTCTTGGAAGATTCATTTCCTGATTATACATTCCCTATTAAAAGTATGACAACAATCGGTGACAAAATACTCTCGAAACCTTTATCTCAAATTGGAGAAAAATCATTATTCACCAAAGAACTTGAGGTCGCCTTACAAAATAACATTGTAGATTTAGTTGTTCATAGTCTTAAAGATTTACCTACAAATTTACCAGAAGGAATGACTATTGGTGCCATTTTAAAACGAGAAAATCCTGAAGATGCGCTTGTCATAAAAGAAGGCTTGCCGTATAAGTCGGTGGATGAATTACCAAAAGACAGTGTGATTGGTACTAGCAGTGTTAGAAGATCAGCTCAACTGAAAGCTTCTTATCCGAATTTAACGTTAATGGATGTTGTATGAATTTATTTTTACTTTTTATTTATTCAATTTTTAATAACACGTTTCTTTATTTATTTTGACATTTATTCATTCCAATTTTATGATTGCAAACTTAAAAGAGAGGAAATTTGTAAGTGATCTATTTTTTATTTATTTATTTTTTTTTTTATTTTTTTTTTTTTTCTAACGAAAATAAAGAGAATTTAATGATCATCTCCCGAAATGAATACAAATTTACTTAAGAAACACAAGGCTAGCAAAATTAGATGCTTCAAGTGGACCGTACTCAGCCCTTATTTTGGCTGTGGCAGGTCTTGAACGTTTAGGAATGAGTCATCGAATATCTCAAACTTTTTCACCAAAAGTTATGTTACATGCAGTCGGACAGGGTGCATTGGCTGTTGAATGTCGTATTGATGACAAACAGATTATTGAACTTCTATCTGTGCTTGAAGATAAAGACACCAGATTAAGATGTACAGCAGAACGTTCGTTATTGCGTTTTTTGGAAGGTGGATGTAGTGTTCCTATTGGTGTTAATACAGAATTCATAGAGGCACAAAATGGAACACGAGAATTGAAATTATTAGGATTAGTAGCAAGACTGGATGGGTCAGAAATCATTAAAGCTGAAGGTCAGAAAAACGTTGATGAAGGTGGAATCGAAGCAGCAAATGAACTTGGTATAGAGGTCGCCAGGATTTTGGTAGAAAAAGGAGCGAGTAATATATTGGAAGAATTGAAAGTTTCAAGACAATAAAAATATTAGGAGAATTTTGTTTTTATTGTTAATATAAAATCTTTTTGATATTTTTTTATTTTGAATTATTTTTACTTTCTATACTTACTTTTATCTAAAAATTTCATTACAATCAACAAATTATTAGGAGGAAGGATGCACTATAGATGCTTTTTGTCAGTACATTATATATACAATACAACAAATTCCAAGAATAATTCTTACACTTATTTCGTTTCAACTCAAATATGACAAAAGGTTAAAAATTTTTCATTCAGAATCGAGAAAATTTTAATTCATCCAAAATTTTACTTTGAAGCCCCACCATAATGTAAAATTGCTTCATAGCAGAAGAACATGATAACGGCATTTGGTACAACTCGCATTAAATGAGCAGTCATACCACCATACATTGCCGCAACACCTTCTTCTCGAATAATTGTCTTTATACATCGTACTAGACCTTTATACTTAACATCGCCATGTTCAGGAACTTGACGCATACGAGTTCTGATAACCTTTTTGAAATTTCAAATAGAGAATGATCAGAAAGGTGGTTAATGGACTTTCTAAAACGATACGCGATACATACTTCATGAGGATAACTGACGCAAGCAGCGATCAGTTTCGCGGAAGCAGCGGCGGCTAATTTATCAAACCATGGCCATTTGTCATCAGATTTTATAAAATCGCCGGATATGATTCTCTTTCTCTCTCGGTTTTTCGCAAAAGTTGATTTCAAATATTCATATGTCACCCACTGTATAGTGCCTTCAGTAATACCTGTTTCATCATATGGGTCAAGTCAGTCAGTCACGAAAGAAATTTGCATTATGATCTCAGTAAAAGATTGGGCAATCAAATACCTAAATATGATGCGCTAAGTCCTTTATACAAAGCTCGTACACCTTCTTCCCGGACAACTTTTCTGACGCAATCATAAGAATTCTTATATTTCATAGGGATATGTGATGATGTATTTGAGGATGATTGAAGTTGCATTCGAGTTTTCACGAGCCATATCGGATTGGTTGCTGTTGATGTGGTAATTCCTGTTCATCGAAAAATATAAGAAGTCTTTAGGTTAATAATATATGAAAGGATAAACTAATCAATTTGAATTATAAGATCGATCAACCTGCTGTGATCGCAGCCGTTAAATGAACTAATGAAGTTTCGTGACCTCCATTCAGTTCTGTCAAAATTTTCTTGCCGTTACCATACGTAAAAAAATTAATTGCTCTGAAAAATAAAAAAAAAAATAAAAAGTTGTATACAAATAAGTAAACCTTATATATTTCAAAGCATATCAAATCAATGATAAATACCTAGCAGGCACGACTCCGACCAGATTTGGACCTAACCCTTTGAACAATGCTCTCCATCCTTCATAACGATACACTTCCCTAAACAAGAATGTTTTTATTACAAAAATCTTCCGAGAATAAGTCGTGAAAAAAGAAATTCTTACGATAAAATTTTGCCCGTTTGTATAAAATGTCCTATAATCGGAGTAGCTGCCCGTTTTGAATGTTGTAATGATTTAAGTGTTGATATATAATACGTTGACTAATTACAAAAAAATATTTCTCTATCAAACCATTGATTCATAACTGTAATCATGTAATGAAAAAAAAAACTTATGAGTAAAGTACCTGTAGGCGTGTTTTAACGACGTCTAATGGAGAAGTTACAGTTGCTCCAACCATGCCTCCAGTACTACAATTTGCGAACATAAAACATTAAAAATAAGGAATTTATTAAAATATCAAATATAAATAGAATACTAACCCTCCGGCCACGAAATGCAGCCATGCCTTGGAAGCTTCTTGTCTTTTTTGTGAAGAAGCTGGTGATTTTTGTAGAACAGAAGTTTGTGTGGAAAATTTTATAGGTGTTGCTGCCATTCTTAGTTATATCCTCCACTTTTGATATTATTTTTTTTTAAAAAAAAAAAAAAAAAAAAAAAAAACTTTAATTAAAAAACTAAAAAAAAAATAAAGAGGACGGGTAGAATTTGACAAGTTACGTTCGAGAAGCAAAAAAAAAAAGAAAAAATTTTTTTTTTTTATAGTTATGACTCATAAAATTTTTTTTGATCCGATCATATCCGGAATACTTTCTCCAAAGAAATCATCTGTTTTTGTATGTCACGTCCAGTTTCAATCAAATAACATCAAGAACAATCCTTTTTGTAAAGCAGATTTTCCGGAAAATAATTTTTTTTTTTAGTATATATATATAACCTTAGTTATTTGAAATTATAAATTTTTTCTAATTTATTTATAAGAAATTTATGCGCTTTAGAAAGTTGTGTCAGATTACTTATTTTGGACATTATATTAATTAAAATGCGCCACACGAGCATTATTACCAAAACAAATTCATTAAAAAAAGTACATTTGACGAGGGAGGAATTCATAAATGTGCTCAAATTCCGTTTATTAAGAATCAAAAAGAAAAAAAGGTTGGTCCTCTAAAGGCATTAAGGTCTTAAGAAGTTCAAAGATAGAATTAAAAGATATTTTCCATTTGTTTGTAAATGAAGAATAGAATATCGAAATTATTCACCGCATTTCTACCTTTCTTGACAATGAAACATTTAATTACAATGTTCATCTCATCCAACTCTAACGTCTTTAAAGGGGGCTATTTGTATGCCAACCTTGAACCTATTCCTAACCTAAACAACCTTAAACTATAAATCGGGCGCAGCAAATTCAGAACACCTCAACTTGTTCGATCGACTCTAAAATGCTAAATTTGATTTTTTTAAAAAAAAAAAAAACGCAAAAAAAATTGTGATGTATTTATAACACTAAATAAACTTGCATAAATATAATCCGTCGATGTTCACGTGGAACATATTAATTTTTTTCAGGGATGAAATTGATTTTCTTTTAAATAAGAACTATGATTTACAGTAATATGAGGAAATTGGACAATTTTATTAATTATATCTGTATAAGTGATGCTATAAAAAAAACCCACAGTTATCTTCAGGTGTAAGGGTATTATTGATTTCCATGGTCATCATTATAAAATTATGGAATAATGGTCGCAACTCATCAATTCAATTTTTTTTTTTTGACTCCCCGTGATAGAACCTTAGAAGTTTTTGCTTAAAAATAACAAACGTTCCATATTCATTAAAACATTGTCGTTGGTTTGATCTGTTAGGAAAAAGATAGTAAAAAAATCATCGACAATTTATAAGCCACAAACAAATATGCACATGCTCTATAGTTCTTATATTACAAATACCTTTTTGAAATATGGGTTTATTTGCGGTTTTTTGATCTTATTTCATTCTTTCCTTTCACACTAAATTGTGCGCGGTTCTTTTCTTTACACACGAACTCTTGCGTTAAATCTAATTTTCTTTCTTCTGTTACCGCTACTTCCATTGTGAACTGAGCGTTCTTTGAACTAATTACACGAAAAGATTTTTGGAAAAAAAAATTGTGCTTTTAAAATTAAAAAATATTTCTTCAAAATTATTATTTATTCAAATGATCTGCATTTTGCAGCGTAAATAGTAAATGCAATGCAATGCTAATTGCAAATGAATCGTTTATGGTTAGTGATCAACATCATAAAAAAAATTCACGACAGAAAAAATAATAATTTCTCTTTTGTTTGAGAAAATTATCTTATATATGAGGGACGAAGTCGGGTTCTAGGTTTTTGCCTGATGTCCCAGTCATCCATTTTTGGTTACAAATTATTTGATTCAAGAAAGCACAACGTTTTAACTTATTGTAAAAAAAAATTATTTATGATGTGATATATGAACATCTTTAAATGCAGATCATGTTAATTAGTCTCTAAATCTCATTGGTTTATTTTACTCAAATGCCCAATTATACAAGAAATCACAATCACAATTTTATACATCATTTTTCTTTTATTCTTTTTTTTTTTTTTTTTTTTTTTTGCACAACAAACAACTAATTAGGAACCTCTCCAACGGATAACCAACAGGCGTTGACTACTTCAACGAAAAAAGTTAACTTTCCTAACTTTTCTTTAGTGGACAATACGTCTTCCTATTAACTTTTTCGACATTTGATCTTATTGTTCCTATTCAAGTGTCTATACCTTTAATTAATATTTGGTCCGTCTTCGAGGCCATCGAGAATGTCTTGATCATAAAAAAGAATTGGTTGGTGTTCACGACTTTTTTGCCGTGTTTGCGTCAATCCATTTTTCCTGATCCGACGTATGGTGATAGCGAATGCACTCCAATTTATTTTCTTATCTCTCTCTCTCATATAAATATATATATATTATATTGTTTATATTGTTCTTATTAAAAATTCCTCTCTTTTAAATATTAACTATTGATATAGATTCTAAATATTTTTATAATTATTACATCTACCTAGTACCTCCAGATACTTGGTTTCTTTTATTTCTATATATTTTTATAATCTAAATTTCCGACAACCCGTTAGAAAGTGTCTGTGCGGAAAAACTTTTGCACTCTTCAAAGAATGTCAAAGAGTTTGTCCCAGAACATGGTAACTATTTCCTTGCTTTTTTATCTTTAAAAGTCTATTTCTTTGAACAATAAATTTTAGATTATCATTATTAATTATTTTTTTTATTTATTTTTTTTTTTTCGACTTAAAAATTATTATCTAAACTTCTAATTCAATGTTCTTTTTAATAAAGCCCTCCTTTGTCACGTCCGTTTCTGAAAACACGTCTCCTATCAATAATGTTGTCGTTGATGATTCGACTTTAACAAACGTAGCTTCAACAAATGAGGTCAAGAAGATTGTACTGTTGAAACGAAATCCAAACATTAACAACAATACGATTAATAATAACAACAATTTGAATAGTAGTCCTACGAATAATGCAGGATCTAGTAATGTTGTTCAATCGTATGAATTATTATTACCGACCCCCAATAGGTCTGACACATCATCGCCAAGCCTTGAAAGTGAACTGACACCAGAGCAAGCTGCGCATCTTGGTGAAATCGATTTTAATACGGGTCTTGATGGATTCTTATTGGCTGCTCTTAAAAATCCAAAAGATAGACTATTTCTCTTAAAATTAGATCGAGAAATGGAACGATTTATAAAAGAAAAAAAGTATATGATTTTCTCTTTATTAATAAAGTTTTGTGTACGTTTTCTATTATGTTATAATTTAAATTTTTATCATCGCTTTTCAACTAATCATCATAGTCGCACGCGATTAGAATTTCCACCTATGAATTCCTATCAAAGACTTATTGTTCATCGTGTCGCACAATACTTTAAATTATCACATGTGGTTGATACAAGCGGAAAGGCTGTGGTTTTGTACAAGTCCGCAGAAACTCAAATGTATGCTTTGTTTTTTTTTTTATCCTTTTTGAAAAAAAAAAAGTTTCTGATCTAATTTTTGTTGATCCTTTTTTAATTATCAATTGCTTAAAGACCTATTCTCAGATTTTCTGATCTTCTTGAACAAGAGGAAGAGAAACCTGAGAAATCTGTGAAAATTATGAGACGGCAGCAATCGCACCCTCAAGGACAACTTAGGTCCGGAGATTCAGATAGTAATTCTGAAGGTGAACGTAAACTTTTGACAATCGAGGAGCGAGAAGCTGCATATCAAAAAGCTAGGGCCAGAATATTTAAAGATTTGGAACAAAAAAATGGGGAGAATGAGCAGGAAGACACTGATGGGTCTATTAACTCGAGTCCTAGTGTGAAAAGTTCCAATATTCCAACTAGTAATGATAATCAGAATAGTGACTCATCATCCTCTAACAAGTCTAAAGGAAATCAGCAACAACAAAGTGGCAAAGGTGGGAACAATAAGAATGGCAAACAATCTCAGCAGGCAAATAAGTCTGCTGGAAATAACAAAAACTCTAATAATAAAAATAATGGAAATAATGCAAAGAATCGACATCATCCTACAAGAGTACAAACTTTTCCTCCAGTGGATCGTACGTTCTTTGTGAAGCAAGGTCGTCCGATTCCAAATTTCCCACCACAAATGATGCCTTCCGGACATTTTTGCCCTCCCTTTTTTGGAACACATATGAATATGTATGATGTTAATATGTTACCTATGCAACCACCAATTTTGCCACCTGATATGCAGCCACATTTGCCAAATCCCTACATGAACATTCCTACTGAGTGGAATCCTACACTTGGTCATTACGGGCGACCAGGGATTAGAAATGTATGGGGGACTGATTCGTTTAACGGTCCTCAAGAAATGAGCGGAAGTCCTTCTTTGTTCAATCATCAACAGAGTAATCCAAATCCGTTTTTACCTTCTCGAACAGCGCCACAGAATGATACAAATTTTGTTCAGAATCAGACGCAAAATAATTTAAAACATATGAACCAATACCCTCAGAACCCTTACGCGCATCCTCCATACACAGAAGGTAATCACGTGATGGCTCCTCCCGTAACATCAGGTGATGGTAATTCAAATAAGTCGTCGGTTCGTGAAGGTACTACTCCTCCTATTTCTTTTTTATCTCATTGTGGTAATTCTATTTGGACTAATAAATATCATTCGGGGAACAATGACAGGCAACGAAGGAATAAATGAAAATAAAATGAATGACCGTCAATTGGAACAAAAAAGACCGAACAATAGAAACTCGCTTAATCCTCAATCTCAACAACGTGACGGTCCGGTAATTATATTTCAATCATACTTTTTAGGGGAGGATGATTATTGGTGAAAAAAATTATTTATATACTATATTTATATAGTTCTTTAATCCTGCTTGGAATAATTCTTCCGACTCCCAGACAAATGTTTTTAATCAATCGCAAACATCGAATGAATTTCCCGTTCAGAATGCACCCGGAATGCCAATGATGCCATCCCACATGTATCCAGGGATGATGCCCCCCCCCTCCAATGACTGGACAACCGTTGGGACCTCGTCGTAACAATAATGGTAATCAAATATTTCCCGGACCAGTTCCTCAAGAATATGTAAATATCCAGCGTATGGGTATTGCACCACCACCACCTATCATGGGATTCCCACCTCAGCCAACACAGTCAAATATGACGACTACAGGTGCAATAAGACCTCCAAAGTCATCCGAACTATTTGATCCAAACAATTCAAACAACCCTCCCACCTCAACTGCTTTGAACACAGCCCCTTATAATAAAGTTCCCATTACTTCTTTACCGGCTAACAACGCTCTTCAAATATTATCAATTCCACCTACGAATAATATATTATCATTACCTTCAAGACCTACTCAACCAGTTTTATCATCTAAGGTAGTTTCTCCTTCAGGTAATAATAATGTTAATAACAATAATAATAATAATAATTCTCAAATTTCATGGCCTGGAGGGTCAGTAGGAACAAAAGTAAATACACTGCCACAAATTCACAATAATAATCGTCGTAAGAATACGAACGATAATAGTAATAGTAATGTTAGCAACAGCTCTGTTGTAGATGGTACTATGATGCGTTCTCTAAGCCTTTCATCAAATAGTTCCCAACAGGGCAGGAGTCATCATAACAATCATAATCATCATAATCATCATCATCATCATCATCACAATCGAGCATCATCTACACCACCCCCAGGTAATGGTAATAACAACAAAAAGAACAAGGAAGGTTCACTTCTATTTGATTATTCTATGCAAGTGCCATATGAGGGGGTAAAACCGAGTGAAGGTAATATAATTATAATATTTGATTAGAGAAATTTTCAATTTGAAGTATTTATCTTTATTATTTATTTTATAGCCAATGAACCACAAAAACCAAATCATATACTTGAACTTTATGATTTTGTTGAATCAGATGATCTTATGAATATTGCTTTAACTAATGCTACCATCAAGCGTGTAAGCCCTCCGAACACTTCACCAAGTAAACGGCCGACTATTCTTGCAATATTTAAGACTGCGCGTGAAGCGAACAAAGCAGTTCAAACTTTCAGGGGAGTTCGATTTAAAATTAAAACCTGGGAACCATTAGTGAAAACAAACGTTATAAATAACGGGGTTGTAATTTAAATATAATAAAAATTTGTACATTCGATTCTTATTGGATCGCTCTAAATTTTCTATCAAAATAAATTTTATCTCAATTTTAAAATGGATATTTTGGTCATCATACATTTCCCTATTATAAATTAACATTATTATAGATTATATAAAAGTCTCAATATAATAAGTTTTTTTTTATTTCAAATCAATTATAGTTTTTTTTAAAAATATATTCAAAAAATAAAATATTTTAAGATGTCAAAACATATTTCATATATAAAATAATTTTATATGAAAAAAATTGAAAAAATATATTTAATATTGCCCTCTATATCAGTTTTCAAAAATAATATAATCTTAATAAAATCAGAAGTAATTAGTATTCAAAAGTTTGAATATTTTAAGATTTACTAAATTAATACTTTAAAAAGAAGAATTATTCCATAAAAAAAAGCTAATATAAGTTAATTTTCAAAAGATTATTCTTAATTTAGTATTTTATTTTAAATGTTTTTAATAAGATCTAAAATATTTTCTTAGTTAAAGATATAACAAATTTGATTTATAATTGATTTAATTGATTCTTAAATAATAATTCTTTAAATCTATAAATTACTTAAAAAGAAATTTTAGTATTTAAAATGATTATATAAATTATTAAATAATAATTTTTTGAAATTATGATAGTTAAAATAATTATTAAACTATTAGCTATTCTTTATTAATGAAATTATTAATTAAATATAATATTTGAATTTTATTTTGATAAATTAAGATAATCTATATAACTTAATCTTAAAAAATTTAAAATGTTGATTTGTTTTCATATAATACATCAAAATTTGTAATTTTATTAACCTATTTATAAATATAATATATTAATTAAATCAGATTTCTTAAAAATATTATCTAAAAATTCTTTATACAGTCAACTCTTGATATAGTAAACTCTTGATATAACGAATTTTATGAACAAATATAATTTTTTTTATTTATGCAATATCTGATAATACCAATTAGATCTTAATGGTGAAGGAATGACATGCACAAATTATATGAACCTTATCCTTACTGATCTATCAACTGAAAAGATCTTGACTGACTCAATTATTATTAGCCTTAATCTTACTGAAATACTGGTTTAAGGATTGCTACCTAGAGTGATTCCCTAGAAGCACTATCAAATTTGGATAGAAGGATCACTTTCAACCACAAGTATTTTAGTCAATTATTTTTTTTTGTCTTTACTATAATCTTTATCCGGTATCAAGGTATTTTAACATATGATCAAGAAGGCTTAAAATGTAATTATCTATTATAGAACTCAGAAAGGTAAGTGACTGTTATATCCATATCTCAAACTCATTCAGGAATTGAATCTGACCTCTAATCTCAAATGAGAGTTCAATTGGATGGTTATTACAGCAGTGCAATGTAGTCTATTGTTAATCATAATTACTTTAAGGATATCTTAAAAGTGTCATGCAATCTACTTATTACTGGTTAATCACTTTCTTATTTGTGTAAAGACCCCTGAATTTGAAGACGTGAGACAATATCTATTACAGACATGTCAGCAAAGATCAAGTTTCTGTTAATCTCTAGTTTTATTTGCATCCACTTGTTCTGCAAGTTTTAGTATTTAAGCATAATCAACAATTAATCAATGAATCAATTGACAGTTACCAACACATATTAGTATATATGCTTACATATTCAATTACATATGAAATTCTTATAAAAATCATCTAGTTTTATATTTTAACTAAGACTTGAACCTGTAGCTATTGCAGTATAATTCACAATAGGAACTCAGTTATTACCAACTGAATTAGGATTGCTAATCCTTTTTTAAACAAATATAATAAAAATACTTTTGTTATAGCGAATTGACTAATCAAATCTCTTAAAATCTTTACTATAATCTTATAGCAAAGTTGCGGTTTAGAATATAGAGTTCATTATAACAAGAGTTAACTATATAGTAATTATATACACTTAATATAATATATTATTTTAAATAAATCAATTTTAATTTATTTTAATTTTAATATTAAATCATATAAAAAAGTAGTAATTAACTAGGTTGCAATATATATATATTGCAACCTAGTTGTGTTAAATTATTATCTAGTTATGAGTAGATTGTTACCTACTTACTTATTTTCATGTTCTATAGTCTTATTATTGCTTTATTACTATCTATTTGATTTTATTGCTCTTTAGTCTTTTTATTGCTTTATAGATATTTACTTAATTTTATTAGTTTGTTCTCTTTTTATTACCTTCTAACTATCCGCTTATTTTTATTGCTCTGTGGTCTTTTATGGCTAAGATGCTAGACTAAGATGCTAGACTGATATTGATTACAAATAATTATTTTGTAATCAGATGGCACAGTACATTTGCGAATCAGATTTTAGCTAACACTATACTATATTTTTAACCTAATTTTTAGGACAGAATATTTTAGCTTTCTGTGATTAAATTTATACAGATTTATAGTTATTTGAAAGAGAGCATTAAGAGCTTTTCAATGATGCTAAGATCACATAAATTAGATATCTAAATGCTGAATAATTACATCTCAAAGTTTAGGCAAAAAATATGAATTATAATGCTAGCTAAAATTAATAAAATTTTACTGCACTTTACTGCGTTAATCATGTGATTCAGTTCCTTATTAGTTTCAGATACTTTTTCATCACTTTTTAGTAACTTTTGAGTAACTTTTAAGGGTCAATTAGTTAAAGAATTAGAGTTCTAATAGGCATTACTATAGCTAGCCTATTTATTTACTGAAAGTATGTACCTTGCAATTAAAGTTTCTATTACCTATTTATTGCTAATACATATTATAGATGCCTGCCAAAACCTTCTCAAAATAATTTTGTCATACCCTTTTCTATGTTTTTAATATAGTTTTAACAGTTTTGACTTTCATCATATCGAATGGGTTTCATCATATCCCTTATTATGATTTTAATATAGTTTCATCTAAATTTTGACTGTTATTAAGAGATTTCGTCTCTCATCTATAATACGTATATATCAATTTTACGTTCGAGGTTAGAGATGTGATTTGTACTATTATAACTAGCCCATTTGATTGCCAGGAAGTGCATAAAAATATAAAAAAATCATGCATTACCATAGCTAGTCTATACCATCTTGCAACCTAACTATTGCCTATTTATTGGTGATATATTGGCAAGATATTGTAAGCATTTCTAAAGTCTGATCATAGTTTAAACTGAGTTTCAAGGCAATGAGTATGCTATATTTTTTAAGCATCACTAGTGTCACCAGTTGGTATACAAAACTGGTGACAGAATTAGTGACAGATTTATTATCTTTTCTAAGATTATTAGGCTATTTTATTTCTTTCTTAATTAGTATCACTAGTGTCACTAGTAAAAAAGTAGTAATTTCTAAAAAAAATTGAATATTTTCTATGCTATCCTTATAATCTATATAGAATATAATATGATGAATATATAGTATATGCTAAAAAAATAAAAAAAAAAAGTTAAGAAACTTAGATTTTCCAGTAACAGTAATGATACCAGTAACATCTATCAAGAAAACTTTCTTTCAGCTTAGTATTCCTAAAGAGCCTATCATTTGCATCATTAACTTCTGTCACTAGCTTTTTTTTAGTAACACTAGTAACAGTTGTATTATTTTGTTTACCTCTAAATTACCTATCATTATCTGCGTTGAAGCCAACTTAGCCTGTTTTTTTGATGATAATATTCTCTCAATTTATGTTTTTGCATATGTATCGTAATAGTTATATTCAGATCTTGTCAGCTCACTGCATTTTTTACAAGGAACTTGCTTAGAATTCTGATAGACTTTACATTCCTTTGGATCATAACATCTCTGATTACACACTTCTTCAGTTTTAAGAATATATGGACAATAATAAAAATTTCAGAGTGTTACCTTTTTTTTTGCCTCCTATTTATATATATTAATTAATAATATCAGGGAATTATTTTCATTTTAAACTTTTTCTTGCGAATAATATATCTCGAGTTTTGGTATAACTATAAATTATCTTAAATTGTTTAAAAAAAATGACATAATCTGAGCTTTCAAAGTTTCTCAATGCTCTACCCTATATTATTATAGGTTTAAAGTATTCAATGTAAGTCAATGCCTATATAAAATTCGCGATAATAGTGTTCAGCTAAGAAATTTTCTTAGTGTAGATAACGAAGATAATATAGAAGCTATATTCTCAGATCGAGAAGATCATTCCTTACATGAGTTTATAGACAGGAATGAGCCACTTCATTCTGTTATAGACTTTAATTTATTATTAAAGACATTAAATACTGCCACTTTCAAACTTTCAGACAAATAAATAAAAAATTTACTTTGCAATGTCTTTAGAAATATTTGCTTAGAAATATTCTCAAAATGTGATAAAAAAACTATAACTATTACCAAAAGTAGTAATGTAAAAAAAATATTTCTTCATATCTCAACTTTTAGCATAAGACTTTCAAACATCAACCAGGTTAAAGTATTCATTAAGCTCATTCATAAAAACTTCCAGAAGGGTTGTAAGGAAATAGTATTATTAATAACATTGGATTATTTTTCTTGCAGATAGTTAAAACGTTTAAATTCATTAAAGAAACTAGAGAACATATTTGTGTGAAATAAACTATTCTTTCAAAAGATAGAACAATCTTTGATTTCATGCTTCGCCTGTCCAATGATGAATCAGAAGTCATAGAAAGTCCTCTCTTAGCTATTTTAGAGCCAGAAGTCAAAAGATATAATAATACAAATAATAAAATCACTGAAACTGAACTTAAGCTTGAACTAGTAGAGAAATTGCTCCAAAAGGTAGTATTGAGAAATTTGATCTTTTATATCCATCAGAAACATCTTCTAACATCTTTTCTCTGAAATGAATAATCCTATCATATTGTTCATTATGTATTTGAGAATATACTAGTAAAAATGCATATATTATTCAATATAAAAAAATTTTATAGTTTTCATTGCTA